GTTTCTCCCATGGTGTGGGCCTGCTTATGACTTTTAGGGATTGTAATTACAAGAACATGCAGAAGGTTAGTCAGGAACAGTGGGCATTCGGCCCTTCAGGCCAGTGTGGTTTTTAATAGCTGATTCTGCTAAGGGTCCACATCGAGGGATCAGAGGAAGTCATTTCTGGAAGGAAGCAATGCTATGGGGTACAACTACACGCTTGGGTAGCTTGTTTCGGACTCCCACTGTTTTTGTATTAAAAAATGCCCCCCGTTCTGCATTTTAATTGCCCTTCCTCTTAATTTTCATTTGCATCTTGCAGAAATTTTATTCCTCTGAATTTTAATCTCGAGTCCTTTGGTCAAATGCAGTCGGCCCAATGAAAAATCACCATCATGAGCAGGGTTAATAATTAGAGCAGGCGGATGAATTGAAGTTTATCAGATAAGATCACTTTATTAGCCATATACAATTACCTGCATTAGGAATTTGTCTTTTTGCATGCCCCAGCTTGCTCTCCATGAGACACACAGGCACACAGACAGGGAGAGAGAAGCTTGGGGTTAGAGCGCAGGGTCAGCCATTTATACGTGCCCCTGAAACAGTTGGGGTTTAGGGCCTTGCTCAGGGACCCAACAGAGTAGGATTCCTCTGCTGGCTGCGGGATTTGAACTGGCAAACTTCCAGCCACAGGCACAGATCCTTAGCCAGAGTGTCAGTGCCCCACCTGGTGACGCCCAGAGCGGTGGCACTGTGTATATGATACAGTTGTTACGTCCCAGTATGGTCTGTGTGTTTGATTTGATCTTATGTTCCACACTTCCTGACTTTGGTTGTTCTCCCTCCCCATTGGTTCATTAATTAATCCGTCTTTGCCATTGTGACATAATCTACAATCAACTCTCGACCAATCAGAACTCAGCTATTCAGTATTTAACTGGGAGGTTTTCAGACTGAATGGGCCATTTTGCTTGGCTCAGCTCGTATAGCTATGGCTTTTTTGTTTTATGTTAATCTCCTTGTACTTTTGTGTGTTTATCCTTATTCTCACTTGTGTATTTGTGAGAACTTTTGTGTTTAGGGTTAGTTAAGATTGTCGGGTACATTCTACACACGTAGTTGATATTTGTATCAGTAACACTAGTTAAGGATGGGTGAGTGAGTACCCTTTGTCTTGTATGGTTTTGGGTAGTCAGTGAAGGTTAGCCAGGGCGTTAGAAGACGCAAAAGACCGAGTGTTTCGGGTTTTGTTTTGGTAGTTACTGTAGGTCTGCTTTCCCTCACTTTATTAGCCAGCTCCATTTTATTTACTTTTCTTTAGCACCGCTGTAGTTCCCCTTCCATGTGTGTTATTGTGTCCTTATTACGTACCAGTCACTTGTTCACTTTAAAATAAAGAAATTTTGCACCAAAACTTGTCACGCTTCCTAACTCCCTCAGCAGAAACCCACCTGCATCCAAATCCATCCTACATGTTACACCTCTTTACCCCTAGACGCATGGGGTCGTTAACAATATGATACAAGGTTGGAAGCATTTCCTTAT